GTCGTTTAAACCGCTCCTAGTCGAGTGGATCCTTAGGGACGATGAAATCCTCATCACCAAGGCTGACCTACTCCTCGGAGAGGGCGAGGTAATTTCTATCCTCAGAGTCATTGATGTCCTCGGGATTAAACCGATCCTCACGCTCGTTCGAGTTGTCTTGTTGTTGCTCGGTGGCGGCGGCACCGAGGTTTTCCATATTGTCCGGGGTGTCCTCTTCTTCATTGCATGTATTGCTTTCCCTTCTTCGGCGTCCCTTCGATCCTCCGCGCTGTCTCCGGTGTTTTGGCGGCTCCTTGCCATGCTTGTTTCTATCTCCTGGGTGTGCCGTTATTAGGCCATTTCTCTTGTCCTTGTGGGTGTCCACCATGTAAAGATCATAGGTGGACGTGGCCGTCCATCGGCCGGTGACATGAAGGGCAGTGTTGGCGTGGGCCAAGGCTTCGACATCTTCATCCATGTCATCGGCCTCCTTGGAGGCGTAGCCCAGCATGTCGGTTAAGTCTACAAAAATGGCTACCAAGTGGGTGGTGGGTGGGACGTAACATTCACTGTGGCCCATCTCAAGGCCCCACCAAGTGTGGGCCGAGGACATGTAGTCCTTGATGGTCATCATTTGGATCTGATCGAGCGCCTCGTTTAACAGGGCAAGACCAGCCGTATCAGCGTATGAGGTTTCTTCAGAGTCGACATCCAGCGTGATGCTGAGGCGCAGGGTGAATTTGGCTCGGGTTGACTCCTGGTCTTCGGACGCCGAACTTATGTTCAGGCTCAGTGCCAAACCTGCGATGAGTCCGGCCGGGGTTGACTCCTGGTCTTCAGACGCCGAGCTTCTGTTAAGGCTTGAAGTCAGATCCTTGGTGAGGAGGGCGAGTTCGGCCGGGGTTGACTCCCCGTCTTTGCCATGGTGGTTGTGTCTAGGCTTGAAGCCTGCTGCAAGGAAATAGCCGATCCATAATCAGATCGGGAAGAGGTCCCAAAGTCAATGCTTCAGGGTCTACGGGCGTCTCTGACAAGGTTGAGAAGCCATTGAAGATCAGATTGCCCCGAGCGTCAGCGATGTACTCTAGGTTACCAAACCTGATTCGATGCGCAGTGGCAAAACTTTTGACCTGGTCGAGATGACCGGTCGAATCGTCGTGCAAAATGATGCTACCAAACGCGAAAAGCTGGCCGGGGACAAAGATGTCCGTGGTGTTGATGCCATCTCGGATGATCACGCGATCCAACAGCGAAACTGTCAATGAAAGCACCAATTTCGGTGTCCCGATCTGTGTATCTTGGATCAATGGGGAACAAGGGACGACGAAGGACACGATGTTTACCCTGGTTTGGGCCCTCTCTAGGAGGCAAAACGCCACATATTACTTGATTATATTGAAGTGTGCAGGATGATTACAAAGTCGTTCTACAACGAGATTAGATGAACTAAACCCAAGGCTAGTAGGATGATGGCTGTTGTTCTAGCCTCTATGGCCTAAACCCTCTGGCTTATATAGACACCAGGGGTACTAGGGTTACATATGGTCGGTTACAACATGGGAATAAGCATGCCAGATCTTCTATCTTGACTTGGAGTACACACCAAGGCACCAAAGGTCTCCTGTCCGGGTATGATGCCTCCCAATACTCCGGTCTTCCAGTAGCTGTAGTGTGGCCCGACTATCCGGCCCATGAGAGATAGGCCGGTAGCCCAAGGACCCCCTAGTCAGCGACTCCCTCACCTGGGGCATGCCTTGCAGTCTTGTTACTCTCTCGTGGCTCCACAGGTCTTCTCCCTATGCTTCTAGGATCCCTTCTGGTCCATAAAAAATCATCAAAATGTTTTATAGCGTTTGGACTCCGTTTGGTACTGATTTTCTAAAATGCCAAAAACAAGCAAAAAGGAGCAATTGGCACTGGCACTAGGTTAATAGGTTAGTCATAAAAATGATATATTATTGCATAATAAACATCCAAGATTGATACTATAATAGCATGGAACAATCAAAAATTATAGATACGTAGGACACGTATCATTGTGCCATTCTCGTCGTTTACTATTGCCATCGGAGCTGCTGCTGCCACCCTGTTAGGGACAATGGCCACGCTCAAGGTAGACGACGTGCTCAAGGCGGATGCCTCCATGCTCAGGACAGAGTCGATCGTCGAAGTTTTCCTCAGGAAATGGATCCAGATCCCCATCTTTGACCTGTGACAATCGATCAGTAAAATGGGATCGAGTGTGGTTGACGTATCAACGCTGGAACTAGATGTAGCCGATGAAGCTTCTAGTGTAAGCCATGTTTGTGGGATCCCTGGATATTTTATACAACACAGATGGTTCATGTTAATAAACTGTGTGTTATCTACTTGAATTTCGTATTGATTTGAAAAGATACAATGGGGTTATCGTAGCAAAGAATGGTGTTTGAATTGCTCAAAACATTTTTCTGCAGTCAACATGCAACTATAGGACTGTCATATTAAAATTTTGGAGTTTTTCATGGTTCATATTGCCGTTTTATACATTAGTTTACTTTCTAGGCATTTAATATGCATAATCCTAATTTGAACAACAGACACATGCAACTGTGCACCAAATAGGTTGGAAAATTGTATATGTGGCCTCGGATGCATGTTTAGGCCCCATGCAAGAAATGAGAAGGAATTTCAAACATACCGACATCATGGCTCGGCCGCAAACATTGATAATCATGGTTTCTAAATTCTAGTAAATCCAAAACTCACCTGAAATTCATGAAATTTGGCATGGCAGTGTCATGATAGGACACCAATAGGCCATGGTAATTTTTCCCAATTTCAGACAAGTTTTGATATAAGCTTCTGACAAATCGGAACTTCTCATAAGAAGACTCATGGTTCTAAGAGGGAACATGTCTGTTTTGGGTCGACTGGGTCGGGTTGGCCAGGCTAGCTGCCTTTCCTTCTTTCCTTTCTTTTTCTTTTTCTGCGTCCTTTCTAAGTTCAAATCTGTTTTATTTTTTCCTAAAAGCAACCTAGCTCTAAATTCCTTTTGGAATATTTATAATTTGATAGACATTTAATTTGGATCTCTTGAATATTAATTTTTGGCCATTTCATTATGAAGCCTTGTTTTAATACTCCCATTTGACTTATTTCCAATTTTGGATTTATTTATTTGACTTTGTCAAACTTTAAATATTTGTAACGCCATCTTATTTTTCAAATTTTATTTTTCCCGACTTTCGGCTTTTAACCAACCTAACAATCACTCAAGTTTACTCATGAGCATGTGACTCTACACTGGGTTTTATAATTATCCTCTAAATGACAATTTAGGATTTCTGAATAATTCCCAATGTTCAATTGGACCACATTATAGATCTATTTAAAAAACTCCTATCCTAATTCCTACTAAAGAGATTCAAACATAAGTATTTCTAGGAAACTTTTAATTCCCTACGAAATTTTAACATTCCAGATTTGGGTAAAATCTAGGATGTGACATGCTTATTGAGTTGTATAGCAGTTATTGAACATCACTATTATCTTGTTACTAAATACATTGTGTGCCTTAGCTTGACATTTTGTTTCCTTTTATTGTTATATTGGGATGCTTAACTTAATTTTGTCCATCTACTCACCTTTTAGGTATTATGCATACACCATGTCACTTAAATTGTATTGGTGATATTGAGAAACCTTCTCCTTTTAACGAATAGTACTATTGGGGCACTTTCACCAGTGATAGTTCAATAGATGCATGTTTCTATGAAAAGTAAGCAGTATGGTGATGTGTGGTGCGCATACGTATGGACACCAGTACATGACCCCATGGAAAGCAGATAAAAATAAGCAGTGTATGATCTATGTCCAGCTGTGTTGTGCATTTGTATATCTACAATGTATATATGTGTGGTTCGTGTCCATGCATCCAGAGGGTGATAGAGCTGGTCCCAAGCAAGTGTGCAGGGATTCGGCAGCGGTTGGCGCGTATCTCTTGGTGGTAACTGATCCAGTGGCGCCATGATTTCACGGGGAGATAGAGATCGCAAGTGGCTGTGTGTGTGATGCATTTGTCCTTGCTGCAGGAGTAATGCGACACATGTAGGCATCACTTCACACCTGATATTATAAATTATCTTCCATGCATATGACACTATGGATAACTATGGCCGAGATTTTCATCCATCCATCTAGAGGTCGGAGACTTTGGAAACATACACATGGTTTTTATGGAAACCTGCAGGAGACAACTATTGTATATTGTAAATGTAGATGGTGGTGTATAGTACAACCCCACAAGAAATGGAACCGATTAATCAAACACCATGGAAAACAATAAGATCGATAGTTATAGATTGCACACACAACTAGTTAGACAAATGTGGGTGGGTGTTTGTTTGCATCACAAAGCCAGACAATATCAACAAAAAGTATGCAGATGAGAGAACCAAGTGGGTAGCATGAGGACCGCATATGCATAGATTGAGAATAATGAGAACAAAACCAAGTGTGCGACCTGGCATGGTAATGGCTAGAGAACTTCGAGAAACTCATCACATGTCGCCACCACGGCATGCCCCCTTCAATACGACAAGCGAAGCATAGTTGTAAAGATGATGAAAGTATCTCTATCCATCCACTGCTAGTAGGAACCAAATTATTAAAAGGTTAGAAAGTGTTGAGGCTTATCTTGCAAGTGCCTTTAGAGTACACTCATTATATCCTATTTAAGCGCCCCCCCTTATCTTGAGCTCATTGTATTCCATTAGTAGTTACTTACATCTCTCTTATTGCCAACAGTGTTTTTGCCATCCCAGGATCCATTGTCAAAGAGCCTCTGCCATGGATGGCCACCTTCAAGTTCAGCAGCCTAAGTTGGTGCTCCCTCCGGGGTTGAGATTCCACCCTACTGACGAGCAGATCATCACCTCGTACCTAGTCCCCAAGGTGCTCAACCAACCTTCGTTGAAACGACGATCGGGGAGGTGGATCTGAATACAAATGAGCCATGGGAGCTCCCAAAGAAGGCAAAGATGGGGGAGAATAAGTGGTACTTCTACTGCCAGAAGGACCATGAGGACCCCTCCGGTATACAGACTAACCGTGCCACTAAAGTGGGCTACTGGAAGGCCACAGGGAAGGACAAGGAAATCCTTGACTCGACACCCGCACTCATCGGTAAGAAGAAGACGCTCGTGTTCTACAAGGGCAGGGCTCCTACAGGGGAGGAGACCAAATGGGTCATGCACGAGTATAGGCTTGAGATTGGCAAGCAGCTAACATCCAGTCTATCCACTGACATCTCCAAAGCCACCATCATTAATGCGTCTTCCAAGGTATTTAAAACTTGAGTAGTACTTGTACTCATGAATCATGAATACACTCATATATATGTAGCTATCTACTCATCATAGTTTTTGTGCACTGATTTCGTTTATGTATGATCGTAGGAAGAGCAAGTTGTTTGTATGATTTTCCATAAGAGCACAGAACTAAAGAAAGTGGTGATGCCATCGGACAAAACGCCCATGCCCATCTCCATGGAAGCAGAGCAGTAACAAGTCTTTGTTCACTCTGCTACATCGACTCCTCTCATGGACTCGGTGTGTCATCATCGATGGCACCTCCGTTGTCGGTGCTCATCGATTCTTCATACCAGTTGCACGCCACTAGGGCCAGGTCGTCGTTGATTGCTAACATTGTTGAAAGATTATGGATGTCACCTAGATGGGGGGTGAATAGGCGCTTTAAAATAATTATGGTTTAGGCTTGAAGAAATGCAGAATAAAACTAGCTTTTAATTTGTCAAGCACAAAACCTAAAACGACTAGGTTCACCTATGTGCACCAACAACTTATGATAAGCAAGATAAATAAGTATGTGATAGCAAGATATATGACATGAAACAATATGGCTATCACAAAGTAAAGGGCTCGGGTAAGAGATAATTGAGGCACGCGGAGACGATGATGTATCCCGAAGTTCACACCCTTGCGGATGCTAATCTCTGTTTGGAGCGGTGTGGAGGCATAATGCTTCCCAAGAAGCCACTAGGGCCACCGTAATCTCCTCACGCCCTTGCACAACACAAGATGTCGTGATTCCACTAAGGGACCCTTGAGGGCGGTCACCGAACCCATACAAATGGCAATCCTATGGGGCGGTCACCGAACTAGTACACTTTGGCAACCCTTGGGGGCGGTCACCAGAGCCCTTACAAATTGCTCAGGACGATCTCCACAACCTAGCTAACTAGAGACCCTGACGCTTGCCCAGATCTTTACACCATAATGATTGATCTCCGAATGCACCAACCTTCTAGGGCACCAAAGCACCCAAGAGGAACAAGCTCTAGGGTGCCCAAACATCCAAGAGTAACAAGCCTCTCAACTTTCACTTCCACGTATCACCGTGGAGAACTCAAACCGATGCAACTAATGCAATGGCAAGGGCACATAGAGTTCCCAACTCCCTCACTCTCAAATCCCATGAAAGTAACGAAAGCTATGGAGGAATATGAGAGGAAGAACAAGAAGGAGAACACCAAGAACTCCAAGATCTAGATCCAAGGGGTTCCCCTCATATATAGGAGAAAGTGATTGGAGGAAATGTAGATCTAGATCCCCTCTCTCTTTTCCCTCAAGAACTAGCAAGAATCATTAGAGGAATTGAGAGATAGCATGCTCTAAGAAGGTCGGCAATGGGGGAAGAACACAAGCTCAAAGGGATTAAAATTCATTGGGGAAGAAGACCCCCTTTTATAGGCACCCCCAAATCCAACTGTTATGTGCACAGGCTATGCACAAGCGGTACTGCCACTCCTAGGAGCGGTACTCCCGGTCCTAGATACTACCGCTAAAGGCCAAGTAGTACAGAGAAATGGCGGTACTAGGAGACGACAGGGCAGTAGTACCACACGGAGCGGTACTACCATGCCCTACTACCACCCTAGTACCGCGAGAGTAGAAAAGACTACAACAGCCAAGAAATAACCGGTAGTGGAAGCGACAGTAGACACGGTAGTACCGCGCGGGCGGTTCTACTGCCCTCTACTACCGTGCTACTGTGGCCCATTTATAAGAGCACGAAAACAAGCGGAAGAGAGTGCGACAGCTCATAGCGGAAGTATCGTATGAGCGGTACTTCCGTGGAGTGGATCGGTACTACCGCTTGGGAGCTGAAAACTGCCCAAGGGAAACAAATGGACACGATAAAACCTGAACTGCCATAACTTCTGCAAATGAGCTCTGAATTGAGAAAACTCAAGCTTGTTGGATAGATGATGACAAATACTATCCAAACAGCAACACGGGAGTATATGCCTAAGATATAGAGATGTGAGACCTCTATGAATGAAGAACCGACATAAACTCCAACATCAAAAACATCATAGAAGATGCATGTGTGAACTCTGTTTGATGAACTAGAGCCTGTCTTGAAGATGACCAAAAGCTCTAAAACTTTCAAAGAGAAACACCAAACAAGAACCAAGAGAGATGGTGCAAGGATGCAATGGTTTGAGCTCTCTACGAATAATACGATCAAGCTACTTATTTGAGAGCCCCCTTGATAGAATGACAATAGATCCTATAACCCAGTCTCCCAACTACCACCATGAGATAGGCAAAATAGAACACATATCAAGGGTAAACCTTTGCCTTGCACATAGTCCACTTAAGGTAGATGATGATAATCTTGACTTCCTCAAGTTGGACCATCTTTCTTGATTGCGTTGGCTCGATGAAGACTGGTTGATTGCTCCCCCATACTCCACTATGGGTGAGCCACTCTTCTACACATCTTCACCAGTCCATTGTCACCGCAATGGATGGCAAGCTTCAAGCATGATCTCTTCATGTCGCTCCACTTGAACTTGCACACCGCAACCTTGATGACGATCACCACTTCATTCATCCTCCATGGGTTGTATGAGATCTTCCTCTTGATGCAAGCCCATGGAAACATACCTAACCACACACAAAACTCTCACGTAGACCATGTGTTAGTACACAAAGAGTAATGGACAATGCTTACCATACCATGGGATCACTTGATCCCTCTCGGTACATCTCGTACACTTTGTGTGTTGATCAACTTGATTCACTCTTTGACTTAGTCTTGATCAACCTTGTATTATGTCTTCTCTATGACTGATCTTTGGATAATTCCTTAAATAGCACCTTGGTCAACACACAAACTCCTTGAAACCAACAAATGGACTTCAAGAAATGCCTATGGACAAATCCTATGAATATAACTCAAGGCAACCATTAGTCCATAGATATTGTCATCAATTACAGATGAATGACCAAATATGGGGGAACCACATGTTCTTTCAACGGTACTCCCGGTGATGAATGACCACTACTTTGGGAACCACCTCATTCAGGAGATGGGTGGCAACCAGAAGTCATTTTACTACCACCAGAAGGATATTATGGAGATGCAGATGATTGTAGAGCAGAGCTTCATGGTCGGGGTCGCCCGGGAGTGGGCCATCATCCATGTTTATGAAGGAGGACAACATGATTGGACTGAGCAGTAGCTACCAAGGGAACAATGTTGCACCAACTGCCAGCGAGATCTCATCAGCGAACATCAATATGGATGGCATATGGGAGTACTAATGATGAAATGATCCAAGACAACATATATATATATATATATATGTGTGTGTGTGTGTGTGTGTGTGTGTGTGTGTTTGTGTGTGTGTGTGCTTGAATTAATCATCCAACAAAAGATCAATCAATATATACCAACATCTATATTTGTTCGCACCACATTTTTCTCTTCCTGCATGACCGCAAGAGAGTTTGCATGAATTGTCTAGCCTGGCTTGCTCAAAGTGCAATTATCAGTTTTCTAACAACCTACATATGAGTCATGAGTAACAACTCTTTGAGAGTTTGGACAGAGACTGAACACGTCCAACAATCCTAAGTCATGAGGTGAGGACACCGCAAGATTGAACCCATTACAAAGCAAATACAAATACACTCTTTTTGACGGGGAGAACCTGAGTACATGGCTTGGTAGAGTACTTAGCTTGCAAAACACAAACGAGTTCTGGTCTGGTCTTAGCATGAGTAATAGGATACCCCGCCGTCAGCAATCTCCTGGCGGCATGCCATCTATTTAAGAGGTGTGTCGCCAGCCTCGAGGAGATCTTGCGTAGCCTCGGGCCTAGGCGACAGTGAAGTCCACCTCGACAAAGACACTACGGGAGTCAAGCCCGCCGAAGGTGGCCTTGAAGGCGGATGAAGTCTTCCTGGGCTCTTCGCGAGAATTTGCCATGGTTGGTCCAGCAAGGGGGGGGGGGCAACGTGGCCACCGGAGCAGCCCGAGCAGAAGTGCTCGAGGATGTGGGCCCCTCCTGTGAAGCCAATTGGGCCTACTAGACCCCGTTCACAAGAACAACTTCTCCAAGGAGAACTAGCTCAGCGGGGCAGGAACAGTGAGACCCAGTAATGATGCCAGCCTCCAGGGACCGAGCACACTCGCGTGTGATGCGAGGTGAGCAACAGTGGTGGATAACGCACAAGTGTAGGGGATCGCAATAGCTTTCAAGGGTAAAGTATTCAACCCAAATTTATTGATTCGACACAAGGGGAGCCAAAGAATATTCTTGAGTATTAGCGGTTGAGTTGTCAATTCAACCACACCAGGATAACTTAGTATCTGCAGCAAAGTGTTTACTAGCAAAAGTAGTATGATAATAAAGGTAGCGGTAGCATAAGTAAAGATAAATGTTTGGGGTTTTTTGTAGTAGTTGTAATAGTAGCAACGGAAAAATAAATAAGTGAAGAACAATATATGAAAAGCTCGTAGGCAATGGATCAGTGATGGATAATTATGCTGGATGCGATTCCTCATGTAATAGCTATAACATAGGGTGACACAGAACTAGCTCCAATTCATCAATGTAATGTAGGCATGTATTCCGTAAATAGTCATACGTGCTTATGAAAAAGAACTTGCATGACATCTTTTGTCCTACCCTCCCGTTGCAGTGGGGTCCTTACGGAAACTAAGGGATATTAAGGCCTCCTTTTAATAGAGAATCGGAACAAAGCATTAGCACATAGTGAATACATGAACTCCTCAAACTACGGTCATCACCGAGAAGTATCCCGATTATTGTCACTTCGGGGTTGTCGGATCATAACACATAGTAGGTGACTATAGACTTGCAAGATAGGATCAAGAACACACATATATTCATGAAAACATAATAGGTTCAGATCTGAAATCATGGCACTCGGGCCCTAGAGACAAGCATTAAGCATAGCAAAGTCATAGCAACACCAATCTCAGAACATAGTGGATACTAGGGATCAAACCCCAACAAAAC